TGGGCAATCCTACTTCCATAGTGATACTGCCTCGGAAACCCAAGGAGGGGTCGCTATGAGTCGGGGCCGACTTGACGGCAAAACAACAATAACAACAACAACAACAAATGAATTACATAGTAATAATTATAATCATAACTACCTGACTGACAAACATTATGGGATGCTGTATGATCTATGATCAGCATCCTTATGAGGTAAGGCATAATTATCCTTATTTCATAATTAAGGGAATGAATGCTCAAAGAAATTAATTTCCCACAATTATACAACAGTAAGTGGTCAAACTAGCAACCAATTCTGTTCTACCTATCTCCAAAGTCCAATGATCATACCCATTATGCTATACCTTCTCCACTGAGTTAAAAAACTCACTGACATTCTAGATTTTTAAAATTCTGTGACAGGAACAATTCTAAATCTTCATAGTTTTCCCCTTTGTATTGTTTTCTAAGGAAAATATACATCCTGTAAACTAATTATCATCCAAGTATTAGTTCCTTATTTAAAAAATCTACTCAGTGTGATTAAGGAGCATTTCTTTGAGCATTATCCATCAGCCACTCCTTATAATCCAGCTCGCTTCTTCAGTTCTGACACCCAATCAAGGTTGTCGTCTTCTTCCTCAAAGTCCCTGTGAAAAAATAATTTGGACATTAAGCTTCCCTGTTAGGGGAACATTAATTATTTGTAAACAGATTCAAAGCAGAACAGCAACATATGAATAAATTTCTTTTATATGACCTCTGTGATGGCTAATTTTGTGCCTCAACATCCCAGTTGTTTGGCCAAATGCTAGTCTAGTTGCTGTCATGGATGTAGTAACTACATATGATTAAATCAGTTCATAGCAGGTAGAAGCAATTACCTTCTATAATGTAATATAATTTAATGCAATGTAATATAATGTACTTTCATAATATCATCTAATCGACCAAGCAGTTGAAAAGAAAGCTTCCCTAGAGTATGATCTGCCTCCATATAATAGATAGGTATTTTGGCAGAATTCTCACTTCACTTTTCACTCCTTTTGTCAAGTGACCTACAGATCTTGGGACAAAACCCTGCATAAATCTCCAGCCTGATGCCTGACCTATAGATTATGGATTTGTCAGCTTCTCACAATTGTGTGTGATCAATTCCTTAAAGTAAATCAAGCAAGCAAGCAAGCAATCTCTACTTCTCTATCATTGGTTTTTTTTCTCTAGAAAATCCAAAGGCAAGTTCCATAAGGCAATTTAGCAGAGGAAAAAAATGTGCTAGTTATTTCAAAAGATCATTTCTTTCATTATTTATGTAAGTTTTTCAATATAAAACCTAGTATTTAAAAAAAAAAAAAAAAGTCTAAGCTGAAAGATTATATGCACAAGGCTCAGTCAGGAATTCTAGTAATGCGTTAGCTACCCCAGAAAAAAGAACAAGATATAAAATACTAATTTATGATGAAAATTAATATAACAAGCTCTTATGAAACCTGAAATTATTATGGTATAATTTAAGTTATATACTCACACACATGATAACTAGAGATTTCTAGGTATATCGCAACTTACGTGTCCTCCTCATCCAGTCTGGGTTCAAGTCTCTCAGGATCCAAAGTGACAGAATCATGAACTCCGTCAACATTGTCTGATGTTTCTTCACACAGGGGGCCTTTCAAGAAGGCTTCTGAACCTTCAGAGGAATATTAACAAAAATAACACCAACTTAAAGAGTATTTACTTATTTCATGCAAGTTAGATTAAAATCTTCTAAAAGTTTGCTGGCTAACTGGGGTGATAATGATATGTTCTGTGTTCCTTTTGAGTGCCTCCTCAAATCACACAGCATAATTTTTGGCACAAAACAGGATCAGTAAACATCAATATGTGGATGAAATTTTAAAATAGTACTTTCCTCCAAAGGAAAAAAAAGATCAGAAAATTAAATAATTACAAATAATTAATGTTCCCCTAACAGGGAAGCTTAATATCCAAATCAAATACAAATTCATATTAAAGCACTGAAAGTTATCCTTGCAATGAGCTCAGTTACATTTTTTCCTTTGACCTTTCCCACCTCCACCAAGTTTGCACAATGGATGGGAATAAAAGTAGTGCATTAAAAGAAAATTTCAGGCATGACCAGCTCTATGCTCATACCCACCTCCCACAAAAATAGTAAAAAAAAAAAAAAAGCACAAATTGGCAGAACCAAGTTTGTCAGAACTCTGGAAAACAGCAACTAAGAAAATGATGAATCAAGAAAAAAGCTACCTCTGAACAGTAGGAAAGCTTTGGTTTTTCACTCCTCTGTACTCAGCTCCCTTCCCAGCTCTATGTATACATTTTAAAGTGGTGGCAGGGAGGACGATCCAAGATGGTATACTAGGCAGATACAGACCCTCTACAAACAAAGACTTGAGAAGCCAAGTGAAATGTATACAGATGACAATCCTAGAACCCAGAGCTTCAAAGGAAAGGTTGAAGAAGTACATCAAATACAGATGAGAGGAACAGACCAATGAAAAGTGAGAACGAAGACACATATGGAGCAATAAACTGCACACATCACAATTGAACACTGCCTGTAGCCGTATCAGTGTTCAGCAGCCCGCCATGCTCTGCCGACCTTGGGACTTTCAATGAACTTGAATAAATGGCCTGCCGTGTGGTTTGGTAACATCGGGACCATGCCTTTTTACTTGTCAATCTTGGGCTTGTTAGTCTCAGCAGCCAGCAGCAGCTGTCTGAGTGAAGAAAAGCCTCTAATTCTAGTGGGCCAGGAGCAGGAGGCAGAGCTGAAGCCCAAGGTTGAGGGGCTTTCACCCAGCCCCTAGAGCCTGGCACTTTGAACTTGGACTTAAAGCCTCCAAACTATAAGA